TAGCATGTGGGAGAATTATATTCTCTGGGACTTCATCACTATCTAGTACACAGATCACAGCAATGAGGCATCAGAAGGCTCCATCACTACCCCGCAGAGCTCCCTCATCATTCTGCAAGGATTATGGTGTCTGCGAGCATGTAAACAAATAGAATTAAGCTCAACGGAATGGAGAACAGTTTTTACTTGGTGCTCAGTATTTGAAAGATATTATGCTAGCCTCTGTGCACAGTGCAGAGATAAAAATCTAATAGTTTCAAGAGAAATTTTATGTTACCTAGGAAGACAAGGCACAACCCAAACATAAAAAGAAAGAAATGTGCCAAGCGCTGATGGCTCATACCTATAATCCTAGCTTCTAATCAGGAGACTGAGATCTGATGACTATGGTTAAAAGCCAGCCCAGGCAGAAAAGCCCAGGAGACTCTTATCTCCAATTAACCACCAAAAAGCTGGCCATGGCTTAAGTGGTACAGCACTAGCCTTGAGCTCAAAAGCTCAGGGACAGCACCCTGGCCCCGAGGTTCAAGCCCTAGGATTGGCAAACAAACAGAAGATATCCAAAAAAGAAAAAACAATTGTCCCAGTGATCTAGGAGGCAGGGAAAACAGCTCCCACATTGTTCACAAAGGTGTTAACTGGTACTTCCATGAAGCATAACTATCAGACTACAAATGTCTGCACCTTTAACCAAGTAAATTTATTTCTTGGTGTGTAACCTAAAAACTGTCTCAACTATACCAAAAGACACAGGTACAGTATATGCACTGCAGCATATTTGTGATGTCTACCCATCACTATGAACTGGTCCATAGTGGTTCATGTAGTCTTTAACGACAGTTGTCACAGAACTCCTAAGACCTTTGTAATTTTCTAGGTGATCGGAGTATCTTTTGTTTTAATGTGGTGACTTGGTGTGGTAACTTTAATGTGGTAACTCTTCAGAAGCCCTTGGAGGGAAGCTGTTGTGAACAATCACCTGGTTAGATAGCTGGAATTTTCAGTCTGATTCACAACTTCTTGGGAAGGGAAAGGAGCTGAAGCTGGAACTGATACCAGTGGCCAATGTTGTCAATCATGCCTACATGATAAAGTCTCTATGAAAACTCAAAGGGAAAACAAAGCCACAATATTTTTTTTAATGCAAAAGACTGTGTTCAGGGAACATCTAGGTTGGTGAACACACTGAGTGTCCTGAGGGAGAGCACCTAATTTCTGCACTTGGGGCCTCTGCAGACCTCACTATTTCTTTCATCTGACTGTTCTATATTCCTCATTGTAATCTTTATGACTTATGTGCTCGATGAAGTACTATACAATCATAAGAACAATGACATTCTTTATGAAGTGATTTGAAATAACCTCAAAAATATGAAAATGGAGATGTGGCTCAAGTGGTAGTCCACCTGGCATGGTATACACATGAGACTAACATAAAACAACAAAATACAAACTGCCAAGTTCCTAGGACAGGAAGCCTCTGGAAGACACACAAAAGACTACCATACCATGAAGAACCTGGGAGATGCACCAAGGGCAGACAGCAGAGCCAAGAAGGTAACTTTCAAGGATAATCAAGAGGCTGAGTCCTAGAGGGTCCTGTATATAGTCAAAAGCTTTGGGGCAATTCTCATAGCCAAGTTTAGAAAGGTACTGTATCTATTGTGAAATACAGTTTGAGTGAGTAGTGTTTTGCACCCTAAATACGGGAATCATATAGAACACACTGAATGAGTTGCTTGGACTGCTTGGTTGCTTGTAGCAAACTTGGATGTGGAGGGAATAATCCTAATCTAATCTCTTAACTCTACCAAAAAGAAACCAGATTCATTGCTAACATGGATCACCTTGCCACTGAATCAAACCAGCTTTCTCCTTCTGATGTGTGCAGTCAGGAGCCACACACCAATGGTTTGTCTTCACAACTCTTCAGGCCACAAGTGCTTTTGCCCATGTGTGCTCCTCCAGTTCCCTGACAAATCACCAGCTGGGGTGAGGGATTTAACTATCTCTCCTATGGCATGAAATCCTTATTTCTGCTAAGTAACACACACACACACACACACACACACACACACACACACACACACACACACACACACACACACACACACACACACACACACACGTTCTTTCCTTGTGACTTTGCTCAGGCTGTTTATATTGTCCTGTCATCTTCACTCCTACAAGACTCAAGTCAAGAGTGTGTGTCTGTCTCTCTCCAACCCCTTCCCTCTTTTCTTTCCTCCATCTCTCCCTCCCTCCATCTCTTCCCCCTTCCTTAGTCTCTCCCTCCCTCACACCCTCCATTTCCCCCTCCTTAGAGCAGGGAAGGCCAGAGCCCTATATCCCAGGCTGGCCTCAAGCTGCTTGCCTAATACTCCAAAGTACTAGGATTATCAGTATGCCCCACTATGTTCAGCTAAAACTCATTTTGACTCATGTAACAAATCACGCTTGAGTACAACTTCAACAGCGCTTCCTCTCTAAGTCCGGGTGCATCTTGGGTACACACATATTGTACCTCAAAGGGTACATTCCCTATATGTTTCTCCACTGGGTTTGAAGCCCTTAAGAGTGTCCTTGCACAATGCTCACCTGCAGCAGATGCTCAAAAATGACTCCTAAGTAGAATTTGTGGATAAAAACATCTGCTGAACTGAGATTATTCCAACTTCTTTGGAAACAAACTGCCTTCCTCAGCTTGCTTTCTCTACAAAACTTGTTTTAATTCACAGTCAACATTACTAGCTTGTTCTGTACAGGATTTGTAGGTCGATGGACCATCTGAAATCACCTTGGCTATGACAGCAGCTACTTTCATCTTATTGCAATAAAACCATTGCCCCAAGATGCTCGGCCACATCTAATTTGGCAGCATCATGAGAAAAATGAAAACTGAAAGGGTGAGGTAAACAGCATCATCTGTTGACCTTGCTTAGACTCAGTGTAAAATTCTCAGTAAGTAAAATAGCTTAGAACATAAGGAATAAGCATGCAATCTTCACAAACATCAGATGTGGTTAAAAAAAAAATATTAAGTAATTTTAAAAAGTGTGACAGAATTCACAAATCTGAACAACAAACATAATCTACCTTATAATGCATAGATTCAAGCCTCAATCTCATTCTAATGGGCTACTGCTAGGGAGATAAAACCATTTGAAAGAAAAAATTGCACACAGAATAAACTGTGTAAGTTTCCCAGTGATTCTCACTAAAGCTTCCATGTATTTCTTATTGAAACAATCAAACAAGCTCTTGGCAAAAGATTTGATATTGCTGTCAGAATAATGGAAGAATCGAAACTATTTATAATGCGAAAAATTTGTTTAAAGCAGACCTATCACTTCTTATTTTTCCTCACTTGGAGAAGAAGCTATGTTGCACTCAGCAATAATTCTTCTCTCGTTCCATCTCAGAATCTGTACAGAAGCAATACTTCAAATAAAATCAGGCCTGAAGGATCTTTTATAAATCCGCATAATGCAGAAGACCCCAATTAAATTTCTAACAAAGCATTGCCGTTTTGCGTAAACAAAGTCATATCAGTAAGGTCACACTGTTTGCAAGGATTGTAGCCAAAAAAATTAATTACTAGCACAACAGATGTCAAAACAAATTTTTTGATAAACAGAATACAGTTGTAACCATGTGTTTTATCTTTTTGTATGCAAAATGGGTATTCTCTGGAATGTAAATATATTCATTTATTCAGTGCCTTTCAGAACAGTAAAAGAAGGCTTATTACTCCCCCCTCCCCTTTTTCATCCTCCCCAGTGAAATGTGAGAAAGTAACAGGGATTTAGTGAGGCAGAAAATCAGTACAGAATGAAGGCCCAAGATGGGTGATGTTTCTTAAAGACAGACATCTTCACACAAATGTCTTATTTTGAAACATTCAGTATGTCTAAGTTCTTCAAGAGCTAAGCTAACTAGACTGTACTAGGTTACCTTGTGAAAGGCAAATCTTTAAGTCATGTGTATGGTGTCATGTGCCTTAAAAAGATTATAATCTACAGCTAAAATTAAAAAGTTTGTAAAAAAACTACAGGAAATAAAAGAAAAGCCTTCAAAGAATTTCAGTATTCTACCACCTTTGATATTATTTACATTGAAAACATTTTTACAAATTAGCATGCTTTAGTACCCCAGAAACTACAAGTAGAAAACAGAAGAAACAAACTCAAGTTCTTATTTGTATAAATGATGGCCAGGTGCCAGTGACTCACACCTATAATCCTAGCTACTCAGGAGGCTGAGATCTGAGGAGAGGGTTCAAAGCCAGCCTACCCAGGAAAATCCCTGACATTCATCTCCAATAAACCACACACACACACACACACACACACACACACACAAAAAAGTCCAAAATGGATCTGACTCAAGTGGGTCAGCCTTGAATGAAAAAGGCAAGGGATAGCACCCAGGCCCCTACTATTGGCACCAAAAAAACAAAAAAGTCTCTTTCCATTGCCAATTTTCTGTATACAGGAAATAGTGTGTGTGTGTGTGTGTGTGTGTGTGTGTGTGTGTGTGTGTGTGTGTGTGTGTGTGTGTGTGTGTGTGTGTGTGTGTGTGTGTGTGTGTGTGTGTGTGTGTGTGTGTGTGTGTGTGTGTGTGTCAATCCGGGGGCTTGAACTCAGAGACTTGTGCTCTCTATCTGCTCACTGTTGGCTCTGTAACTACTTGAGCCACACCTCTAGTTCTTGATAGTTTAAGTTGATATTCTTTAATATTTTATCTATAAGGAACAGTTAGCTATAAGATGTGTGGCAGTTCTGAGTGCAGGAAGGGCTCCCCTAGCAAACCAAGCTAGTGTTCTGATAGATCTGAGAATCATGGTAAGACTCAACAGTGTTTGAAAGAGGGAGCATAATTTCCCTTTTGATTCTTTAAACTAGTTTCTCCAACTGTATTCTTGATTGTTAATAAATTTAAATTTACTCGATGATCTCATCTTTCCTTTGTACTTCCTTATTGGAATTGAGCGGACTTACCTCTCTTAAAACTGTGCTTTTATAGCCTCGGTACAATCCCTGGATACCCTGAAACAAACAAGAGATGAGAAAATTAGAATAGCAAACATTTCTACATGACATTCTGAATCATTCTAAAATGTTCATCCTCACCACAGTCAAATGTTCAAAACTGGCTTATGGTATCCAGAGCCCAGATTAGCTCCTTTTTAAACAAGAAGCTACAGCCAGGTGCCAGTGCCTGTAATCCTAGCTACTCGGGAGGCTGAGATCTAAGGATTAAGGGTTCCAAGCTAGCCTGGGCAGGAAAGTCCATGAGATTCACATCTCCAATCATGTACCAAAAAAGTCATAAGTGAAGTGATGGCTCAAGTGGTAGAGCGCTAGCCTTGAGTAAAAAAGCTCAGGGACAGCACCCAGGCCCTGAGTTCAATCCCTTGGACCAGCACCAAAAATACAGAAAATTTTATTTTATAGTTTTAACATCAGAAATTCATTAATAACCAAACAATAAAAACAAATATTTCAGGACAAACAAGCATTTATCTACTTAACCATCCACATGGTCCCATAGGGATCCTTTAAGACCGACCTCATTCATATAAGGGGATATTCAGTGTTTCTTCACTGAGGTGACCATTTAGAATAATTTTTCTGGTCAGACACCAGTGGCTCACTTCTATAATCCTATTTCTCAGGAGGGTAAGACCTGAGAACTAGGGTTCAAAGTCAGCCCAGACAGACATAAGCATAAGACTCTCATCTCCAATTAACCAGCAAAAACCTGGAATTAGAGATGTAGCCATGAATAAAAAAAATTAAGCAAGAAGGAAAAGTCCTGAGTTCAAGCCCTAGTCCAAAGGAAGTTTTCTAAAGTCTACACTCATTTAGATTGACTTGTATTTGAAAAAAAGTCACTAGCTATGGTGGAACATGCCTGTAGTCCTAGCTGTTCTAAAATCTGAGGCAGGAGGATCATTTGAGCCCAAGAGTTCCAGGCCAGCCTATACAACATATAAAGAAAACAGATTAAGTGCTTCATACTCACATGGCTAAGGGGAATAATTTCTAGCTCACAGCTAGCACACATCAGAAGAGAAATCATGTTGTGATATAGATATTATCACATTGGTTATACTACCAGTCTATTATTATAGTCTCCTTCTGTGGACCTTTAAATTCTATAAGGATATATTTTAATATATCTGAATTCACTTTACATATTTATCATTTGTTCCAAATCTGCTTCTGAAATAACTATAGGAAGATTAAATTCATGGCACCTACAATAGTAGCACTCAATACATTTGTTTCAAAATGTGAAAAAGACGTAAAAATAAAAAACTGAAATAAATCAAAGGCAAATACAATCTAGGCAGAAAGTTACTATAAAAGGATATGAAACTCCCCTCCAAGGCACATAGAACACATCCCAAATTGTTCACACTAACATACTAACTTTAGAATCTTCCTCAACATAGACAGATACTGGAAACAAAAACACATCTTACCTCTTCATACAAGATGTTAGAGAAAACCTGTGATGTCCTTGACGAAGCTGAGACCTGTGCCCTCTGCTTGACCACTTCAGAAGGGACTCTAATCAGGCAGGCAACCTGAAATACATCCATTTAAATATATCCTAAAAAGTAAGTAACTACTGCAAAAACCAACAATTTTCTCATAAGCACAATTGATAATAAAAATGTATTCTATACAAGTTTAGTTCAAAATGTCAAACAAACTGGCTGTTTCTTGGTTACTTTGTTTTTGTTGTTGTTTTCCAGGCCAGCGGCTTCAACTCAGGGCTTGGGCACTTGTCCTTTCGTGATTGGGCTGGCTTCAAGCCATGATCCTCCAGCGCCCAGCCTCTGTTGTTTTAACCTAAAATGGTCCTTAAAGAACGTGCATAGATGTCAGCCCCAAAGCTTCCCTCCCTTGTCCTGTTTATGCCCCCACAGCATTCTGTGTGCATTGATGAGCCACTAGATAAGCACATTTACTTCTCATGTCTCCTCAACACCTACACAGCATGTGGCAAGATGGTAGAGTCCCAATCCTGATTGGTCAAAGAATGAACCTTGCTTAACTGGAAGCAAGGCAACATGTCAGCAGGTTCAAGGCTGGTCATCAGCTGGGAACTCTACCCTTCCACATTCTCTCCAAGGCTCCACCAACACCCAAGCCCAGCACCTGACCTGGAGGAGAAACTCCAGCTAAGTCCTTGGCTCTCATACTCACACCTTTACCAGTCAACAAATAATTCTAACACTGGCCTTGGTAATATACTAGGTGAAGTACCTAGTACCACAAATTCACACTTCCAGGATTTAACCTTCATACTCTAAAGGTAGCCTATTTATTTTCACAGATAATAAACTAAAGACTAAAGAACTGGTCAAACCACATGGTATACTGCTACAAAAGGGCAGAAGGAAGGGCTGAGGAAAGGGCAGCAGGAAGACACAAAAATAGATCAGTTCCACTCTTTCTATGGGAATCTTAGGAATATGTATAGTAAGGTGAGATTAGGGCTCCATTTGGATACATAAGGGTTTGTCTTTCCAAAATTAAGTGGCACGACTGCTTTAACATTAAAGGCCTTCCTGGGTCATAAATGTGTATATATACAATTATAAGAACATTTGGGAAAGATGGGAAGATGGAAGAGGTGACATTAAGATGCATTGTACTTATAAACTTATTTGTTGACATGAAATTCCTTTGTACAACGACTGAAATGAAAGAAAAAAGAGGAAGAGAAGGAGGGATGGAGGAAGGGAAGAAAACCAACAGTATATGTGGTAAGTTTTCTTACTTAACTTGGACCAGAAATCTTCAGGTAGTTAGTCTATTCTTAATTCCTTGATATCATACCTTCTCTACTTCAAAAGATTCCCTCCTGCCGTGTATGGGTGCTCACACCTGTAATCCCAGCTACTCAGAAGGCAGAGATCTGATAACTGCAGTTGGAAGCCAGCCTAGGCAGTCTGTGAGACTCTTATCTCCAATTAGCTACAAAAAAAAAAAAAAAAAAAAAAATCTGGAAACTAGAGATATGGCTCAAGTGGCAGAGCACTAATCTTGAACAAAAAAGCTCAATGACAGCACCCAAGTCCTGAGTTCAAGCCCTAGGACCAGCACAAGGAAAAAAAAAAAAAAGATTATTCCTAATTGCCAAATCACCTCTTTCATCCGACACTTTTTACTTAACTTAAACTACAGAATTTACTATCTACTGCTAAGTCACAAGTACCATAAGGTATGAGCCAACCTTACTAATCAAAACACAGAAAAAATAATTTATTTTTTATTCATTATATAGAAAGCAAATGAAATTACCCAAGGGGTAAAACATCCAAAAAAAATCACTTCTGTAGAAATGACTTTATCCATTGTTCAGTATTTTCTTTGTACTAAGCAGCCTATACACACACTTCTAAAAACATTAGGAAAAAAATAGCAGCAGGATGGCATAGTTGTATCTTTTCTGCTTGTCTGTATTTTCTACATTCTCTCTAGTATTATTATTATTTGGTAAGGGTTTAGTTCTTTTTTGTAAAGAAGCAATAATTTCAAAGGACAGAAATACCCATCATGGACCCAGATTCCAAGTGGTAGAGGAAACAAAATGAGAAGGCTAATTTGAAATACGACTTTAGACGCAAATCTACTTATTAGCCTTGACAAGATTTATTTTTCATTTAGTAACAAACAAATCCACAAAAACAGATTAAATAGCTTATGGCAAAGCCTAAAAATTGTACATAAATTGCTTCTTTTGATAAGAGTATTGACTCTCAAGAAGACACAAACCAGAATAAAAGATAGTCCACTGAAACTTACATGAACCTAAAGGATAGCTCCCAGCATCTAAAACTCATTAAAACAATGAAAACAAATAAAGAAAAAAGGAAAGAAAGAAAAGGGCATACTAACTCCTAGTATTTTTCAATTCAAGAGGTCAATTGTGAAATACGACCCCAATATGTCAAGAAAATAGGACTTGTCTACTTTTGAGGTTTGGCATAAATATTTATGGAATTTCATGCTTCATAACTCTCCATGTTCTTACATTACGATTTTATTTCGTAAAAACACAAAGGCAGAAGAGGAACCTTAAAAAGGTTCTCAGATGAAAAGCAATGGAAGGAAGCAGAGGGTACAAAGCCCAGTATGGCTTCCTGACTTCCGTGGCGCGGTGACTTTGTGCTTTCCATTTGTTTTTCCATTAACTCTGATCTTTCTGAGATTTGAATTTGAGCTAAAACAGAGTATCTCACTGCACAAGAACAAAACCTTGTTATAGCCCAGCAGTTCTATGAAAAGAAATAAAGGTGGTGTCATCAGTGGCAAATCCACCAGAAAAGCATTCTTTCCTTACCCACCTAGGATTCTGAATCAATCCACAACACAGGAATGGCAATTTCATTAAACCTAAGACCATTTCATGTTAAAGTTCTATCAAAGACAATACAATGAAGGTTTCTACAAAGAGAATACGTTAAGATGGAATGCTGAGATTATTAGAATTAATGACACACAATACGATAAACTTTAGATTAAATCAATACTGGTGCTGCTACCAAAATTTTTCTTTCTCTGACATGCTTTTCTGAAAGTTAACTGATTGTTGTGACAGAGAGCTGAATATGTTGTTTTCCTAATTATTAGCTAAAACACAAAGATACAAAACTACAAAGCCCAAAAGTAAATTACAGAGAACTTCAGCATCACATTAGGTAAAGTAGAAGAGAGACAAAGGGACAAAGTGGAGAGAAAGACAGATGCTGCTGAAATCTCTGCTCCTTTCATTGCAATAATCAAGTTCCAACCCTCCAGTACATTGTCTACCAGGGTTTTACACTGTCACTTCTGTCCATGCACTTAGGACATATTCGTCAAAGCCACTCACCCATTGGCACCTTGTGTTAATGTATCTTTTCCACAAGCACTTCAATATACTTTAAAAATTTCTTGATTTTAAAAGGATTATGGGCATGACTCAGTTGTACTACACTCACTAGCAAGTTCAAAGCCCTAAGTTCAATCCTCCCCCACATACAAAATAAAACCTAATTTAAAGCCTGGTATAAGTAATTCAATCAGCAAGCTAAGAACATTCTTCTGATACTAGAAACTAGTTAATGAAGTCAGCATCTTAGACATAAATCAATCAGAGATAATGAAGGTTACTAATAAGCTGCCTGGCTCAGGAAGCAAAAGCAAAATCCAAATCTTGTCATTTTTCAATTACACTGTATCATATTTACACACACTTAATAGACTTAGAAAGTTTGCTCTCCATAAATACTTCGTAGATATTTCAATTAGCAACTCTAGAACAAAGTCACAGGAACTTAAGAATATACAGCTAATCACACCTTAATACTACTCCAAATAAGCATATGTTAGACTATGTTGAACTCATTATGGAGGGGGGGAAACAGAGACACAGCTCATAATATTGAAGATTTTTCAAATGCAGAGTTTACTTGTATTTTATTCCATATGCTCTGTGTATTTCTCAAAACTCTCTTCAGAAAGCAGGCTTCCAATTAAGAATATCTAGTATATCTTTCTATACCACCATTTAAAATGGAACACTTTTACAAGTGAACGATTCATTTGTACATCAAGTCTGCCATCTTCTGGTTGCATATAAAATTGCACATCTGACAAACCAAACAGTAATTTGTACATTTTTAACCTACTTAAACTTTAAATTTTATCTATTTCAGTTAGGCATAAGTGTATCAAACTCTTTAACAGTACTGGAATTTGAACTCAGAACCTTGTACTTTTGAGGTCAAATTTTTGTCCTTAAATTTTTTTTCCCACTTAATAGCCAATATTAACAAGTTAACAAAAGGCAGCCTTGTGTATAAAAGCTGTTCACAGAATTTTATACAACCAAAGTTACGCCTGATCTGGCTATTTTCACTTTCGTAATACAAGTGAGCCACGACTTCACAGGGGATGACAAAAGCCCCATGCATAGATTTGTAGATTTCACTAGTATTAGGCCTGAACGAGGAGCAGCCTGCAACCACTGATATGTCAGGTGATGGTGGATTTGTTTCACTACTGTAACAGCTTAGTCTCTATGGCCCAAAATATGTTATGTACTTAAATATACACTATTTTAAGTATCAACTGAGTGTGGCTCAAAGAAAAATCATTATGTGAGGCCTTTCTGTACCAGCATCCATCTACCCACTGCAGTCCAAACCAAACCAACCAACCCTTTCTACTCTCACCCCTCAAGGAAGTGGCACCTGTACCACCTTCAAACACCTGTACCACCTGAAAACAGTTTATGTCCACCTGCACTTCCAGACAGCAAGCCTCTCCAACACAGCATTTCTGTCATGAAGTACTCACAATTACTTCCGTGCTTCCTTCGAGGCAAGGTCAACAAAACAGGAAATGAAGCCAAGATGAGCAGAACAAGAGCAGTGAAAAAGGAATCCAGGTGAGCTGATAAAATAGTCTACATAAGGAACGAACCAGAGATTTTTTTATACTGAGGGTTTTAAAAGGTGGTAATGGGATCATTTCGTGGTTTTCATAGCTAACAGTTCCTAAGTTGGCCTGCATCATGTATCCTATGCCTTCACATGAAAATGAAAGATTCTCTGCTTCCAGGTTGGCAAGCTGGGCAAATGTTCCCATTAGCACAGAGATATGGTCAGATGTATCAGCAAGAAAAGTACCTGAGTCACATGAGGCCCTGCTCCAGCTTCTGTGTGACACTGCCCTGGGAACACCTCTATCTCCATTCACCTTTACAGACTAGCAGCTTCTGATGCAGTGTTATCGTGAACTTCTTGACCATATTTTCTTTTCTTCCCCTCGAGCCATAGTGAGTACTGAAGTCAGGGCATTTGTATTTGCTAGGCAAGTATTCTATCCTTGAGCCATACCGCCAGCCCTCTTGGCTTTGTCTTTCAGATAGGGTCTCGTGTTTTTTGTCTAGATTGGCTTCAGATCATCATCCTACTTATGCTTCCCAAGTAACTGAGATCACAGGCATGAACTACCATGCTCTGCTTATTTGTTCAGATAGGATCTTGCTAACTTTTTGCTAAGGCTGATCTGAAACCACCATCCAAGACTAGAAAAGGGCATACTACCAGCCTGTATGTGTGTGAGAACTGCACACCTATGCAACAGCTGCTTTTGTCTGCAAGGAACTTTCAGTAGTGTCCTTTCACTTCTAAAAAAAATTGACAGGGGGCTGGGAAGGTGGCTCAGTGGTACAGCGCTTGCCTTGCATGCATGAGGCCCTGGGTTCGATTCCTCAGCGCCACATACGCAAAAAGAAAAGAGATGGAAGTGGGGCTGTGGCTCAAGTGGTAGAGCGCTAGCCTTGAGCTGAAGAGCTGAGGGACAGCGCCCAGGCCCAGAGTTCAGGCCCCATGACCAGACCCAAAAAAAAAAATTGACATGAACTAATCCACAAGTAGGATAAAATATAAAAACAGTCAGTGTTTCACACCTGTAATCCTAGCCACTTAGGAGGCTGGGTTCTAAGGATCAAGGTTCGAAGTCAGCCTGAGCTGGAAGGTCTGTGAGACTCTTATCCCCAATTAATCACAAAGAGCTGGAAGTGGAGCTATGGCTCAAGTGGTAGAGCACTAACCTTGAGCACAAAAGCTCAGAGACAGTGCTCAGGCCCTTGAAATCAAGCTCTGGGACCAGCAAATTAAAAAATTAAAAAAAAAAAAAGTCAAATCACAAAAACCTTTTTTAAAAAAATTACTACTGCTGTAATATTACAGCATCCATACCACTAAAGGAAACCTGCTCCAATCTTGGATATAATTACAGATCCTTCTTCTCAGAGCACTTATTCTATGTGTGATGAAATCTGAGCTGTAAAATAATTGAAGTAGGGATTTAGAGATTTGGTACAGCAAACTTACTAATAAAAAGGGCACAAATGGGTCCCTCTTGCTGTGGTTACCTATTAAATCTTATTTAATCGATTTTCTTGTATTTCAAATTGCAAGCATAAGGTAGAAGATTGTAATTATACTTGTATTGATTCATCATTAAGATTTAATCAAGCTGCTTGCTACAAGGAATGGTTATTATTTTGACAGTGTTCCTTAGTTTCTGAGTTGTTTCCATGGTTGCTACAACAAAGGAACTGTGTGCATGCTCAATAACAACAAAATATGGTATTGTTTCTAGGCAACCTGCTTGCAACATAAGTTTGTATGAGAGCAATGTGTCATACAATGATGACCCCACTATGCTATTTCTTATTTCTAGGCTTCTATACCTTGCTGACCCCAGACAGCTTTTGTTTTCATTTTCTATTCCTTGTTATTTTACATATGAAAACCTATTTCCTCTAAATTCACCTGTTTATTCTATTTTTAGCATGAGTCAGAGTTTGTGTTTTAGGAAACTGAAACAAGTTACAAAAACGATTTGATCAATTAAAGTCACCATCAAGAAATGATTCCTATGGGTCTATGACCTTCTACTGGCCAATTCTCATAAGCTTGTTCAGGAACCATGGAAACTATTAACAGGTGCCAGATGCTAGGCCTTATTGCTTAAGGGACCAAAAATTCCTAAGAGGAGCAGAAAGGACGAAGATGAACATGTCCCAGAACTGCGTAACTCTAGTCTATGGATACTTGTTTCCTAATTCCACAGTCTACTTCTCTCACCTCTTCTGCTCAATAACCCATACAAGAAGGTTATTATATTTAAAAGGCTCACACCCATAAAAAATAACAACTTCAGATAACACAGGCACTAAAATATACAATGTTTGTTTTCTAAAACTGAAGAGGTGAATCATTAGCGTGAAAAATCTAACTGCTGTATTGCCCTACCTTATTATAAGATCTCATATTTTCTTGGTAAGTCTAACATACAGAAAGTTTAGCAACTGAAGAAAGCCTGTTCTTCAACATGAACACTAGGTTTGGACTCCTATGACATAAGATAAATTCCAAGTTCATTATTTACTGCTTACTTCCAACAGCACACTGGGAAATGTAAGCCAAATACAAAACCTAGGAAAAGATATCAGAAGTTGATCAGTACAAATGCAATTATAAAATAAAAACAAGGAACTTATAATCCCAGCTTCTCAGGACGCAGTTTAAGGCCACTCAAGGATAGTACTCTACCACTTGACCACCAGCTTCACTTCTGGCTTTTTGGTTAATTGGAGGTAAGAGTCTCACGGACTTTCCAGCTGTCTTTGAACCAAGATCTTCAGATCTCACCCTCCTAGGTTGAGATTACAAGTGTAAGCAACTGGCACCACGCATCACAAGAAATGTTATGACCAGGCTGGCCTCAAACTGTGAACCCCTAATTTCTATTTCCAAATAACCAGAATTACAAGATGGAACCCCTACCATACCTGGCTAAAAGAATTGTTTTTCTATTTTTAAATTAAATCAATTTTATAATACATAAATATTAAAATTTGAGGAGCTGGACATGTTTACCTTGATTTAAACATTGCAGAATAAAGGCTGGGATGTGGCTCAGTGGTAGAGTGCTTATTTGAGCATACCCAAGGCCCTGGGTTCAAACTTCAGTACAAAAATAAATGGTAAGCTGGTGGCAGTGGCTCATTCCTGCATGCTAGCTACTCAGAAGGCTGAAATCTGAAGATCTTCGTTCAAAGCCAGCTTGGGCAAGAAAGCTCGTGAAACTCTTCCAATTAACCGCCAAAAAATTGGAAGTTATGGCTGACAGTGCCCAGGCCCTGAGTTCCAGCCTCAACACAGACACATAAATAAATGCATTGCACAATATACACATGTGCTAAAATATCAGCAAGTATAAAAATTGTGCGCAATTTTTCTATCAGTGTAAAAGTAGGTTTAAGTCTTTTTAATTAATTACTGGTACCACAAAACGTGTTACTCACCACTTCTCCAGCAGAGGCAGCCAACATATGCTTCACAGGCATGAAACAGGAAGTTGAATCAGTATGCAAAAACCACTTCACATATTCATATGTGAGGAAAAATGCAGCAGCTGAAATGAAAACCAAACTAGACTTTTACAAGAAATGTTTCTCAAAATCCTGTGACAATAATTGTTAAATTATGAGATAAGGTAGAGAGTTGATAAATGCATGTCTTTTTCCATCCTCACTCTTAAGAATTTACTGAACTCACATGCTTGACCCTGGACTTTGAAGAACTCAGAAAACATGATCTCTCCCCTCAGCTTAACAGAGACCCAGCACTGCCATGCTGTACTGACAAGCCAATGAACAGTTTTTAGCTGACCTTTTAGAAAAGGATAAGGGTTTCTGTGATCCAAAGCTAATTACATATGTCCATTAAACTATCGTCTACACTGATTTATAAATAGGTTAAAACTGCAAACATTCTTTAACTTAAACTTACAGTGTTTTATGGACAGTTACTCAAAATAACCATGGCTACATTTTACTACCTCTGTTCACCTTTACAAAAAACAATCAACTATTTAATTAAAACCCGAAATCAAAATCTCTACAAAGTGACCTCCCATTGCCATAAACAAATCATAGGAGTGCACAAGGACTTTAAGACTTCCCATGTGTTATTAATGAAAAGATGTTTATCACCTCCATAGAAGATAAGGCACAGAAGATAAAGGAATGAGAAATTCATCTTTGGAAGGACATGAGAACACTTGGAAAAACAGCTTGATGGGGGAAAAGCAGTTCTCTTTCCCAAAGTCAACAAGCTTATAAAGGGCCCTCAGCCTGCTCACGGGACAAGTAAGGAGCCCACTGGAGTGATTACTAACTCAGCAGTCCCAGATCATTCTGGTGTATGGGTCTTTATATGGCTTTCCCCATTAGAGAGATAATCTCTCTCTTGCATTCAGCAGTAAATTCTGCAGCTATACGGAGCCCTACACTTACTCATTCCCAACCCAGGAAAAAAGGAGAAATACAGCAACGAAGTTCCTGGGTTTCATGAACTGCCTTAAGCCTGTCTACCTTACAGCTACTTTTACAGCAACGAAGTTCCTGGGTTTCATGAACTGCCTTAAGCCTGTCTACCTTACAGCTACTTTTAGGTTATCTTCAGTCCTTTAGGAATACAAGTTCTAACACTCTTCCCCCGGCTGCTCCCAACAGAAGGCATCTATGAAGACTACTCTAGAAACGATGGCATAGAAGGCGCCAGGTGAAGCTGTGCACAAGGTCAAGTAAAGGAGAGGCCAGCTATTGGATACTAACAGACCTTTCTGGCCCTGCCCTCTCCCCCAAAAAAAGAACAAAAGACCAATCACTCTTTTCTACTATAAGCATACTGGAATAGACTCCATAGCACTACCTGTTCAAAAACAATGGATTTTTTTTAAACAGATAAAGTCAGAAAATAAGCTATACAAAAAAGGAATTTTGTTAGATAATGTTACATGCCATTCTGAAAATAAATCCCCTTATTTGGGCTAGAAAGCAGAGAGAGTATCAACATAAGACTTACCATTAGGAAAGGATCCAATAGCAGTAGAAGGGACACCAGCATATATCCCACGAAAGCCACCAGCCTTATTGAATCCCTGAGGACTCTGAAGCCTGGTTTTAATGGTATCCAGAGGAAATAATATCAAGTCAACTGAGGTACCTGCTACTCCTCCAGCCTTTAAAGAAAAAATGGGGTGGGGAGAAAAAAGGGTTACAATAAGTAAGCTTACTGCCATGCAGGTTTTTCATACCTTCCAGTCCACAAGCTTTGCACAAAGGATTTTCTACCTTAATCTATTTTTTTCTAGACATATAGCCATAGTCGTGATCCATACATGCATGCTAGCTATAAATTTTGTATTGAATTTGCTTTCTAAATGAATGTTAGTGAATTAAGCTTTTTATTTTTTACTTGCCTGGTCCTGGAGCTTGAACTCCTCAATGTCCTTTTTCCTCACAGCTTGTGCTCTACCATTTGAACTATACCTCCAGCCCCTAATTGCACTGGGAATTGTTGTGACAAGTTCTCAATTTATACCTCAATAGCCTGGACTTCGGGGGGGGGGGGGGGGGGGGGGAGTCATCTTTTCTATCAAAGTGGATCAAAGTACATCACTTCCATGTTGTTACAAGCTCATTAAGTTTTAGTTATATCCTATTCCAGTTCTTGACAAGCCATCCTGTTACAAACAAGCCCATTAAGCTCTTATTTCTGTTAAGTAAGCCATATGCAAAAAAAAAAAAAAAAGCTTTTGACCTTTTTAGCCAATCGCCAGGAGATCTGAGTTCAAGTTTTTTCAGCAGAGGGGCAGTACCTGCTGTGTTAGGGATAAATAGGGAGCAGCCCACCTGCTGTGTGTGCTTGCTTGCCTAGATTTTGGCTAATGGTGCGCTCTTCTGTGCAGAAGTAAACTTTGCCTTGTTGAAACTATTCTTTGTGTCTTGGTGGTGACTACAGTGTGTCTTGGAGAGTATTTTTATAACAACTTTGATCCTATTTGTGCTCCCATGCATTATTAACATGACAGAAGTGCCAAGGCACTCAGCCCGTACCTGGCCCCTTTCTCCTTCCCTGTATCTTGGGATGATAAGCATCCACCACCACTCCAGGCACTGGCAGAGAGATCTGTGAATCCTCCCCTCTGCTCACTCAAACCTTGAACCCCATCACCTGGGCTCTACCACCCAAATAGCTAGGATTACAGGCTTGAGCGTACATGGGAATTTTTAACTAAACTTCCTTTCTCTATTTTTTATTCCTATCATGTGAATCTATCACTTCTTTAAATTATTATTAAGAAAAAGTTTAAAAATCTAATTAGAGATGTTACGTGGTTCTCAGGATGGAACTCCAGGCCTTGTACATGCTAGACATGTATTCTACTACTGAGCTATATCCCCAGTCAAACGTTAGAGATGCTTTAGTCCAACTTCCCTGGTATACAGATGAAGAAACTGAATTAAAATAATTCATAAGTTAGAGTTATTTCCACATAGCTAAGTAACATAAAATTTTTCTGTTTATTAGAAAGCTGCATAACATTCTGTAAGGATGGACCTTAATTTACTTGGCTATTTTTCTTGGAAGAATGATTTAGTCCATTAGGGTCCTTCAGTAAATCACCTTGTATATATAAAAAATAAAAATTCACATTTAAAAAACCACACATTCCATGACACAGAAAAAGAAGCAACGCTACTGTTCAAACATACAGTCAAAGTTCAAATTCAGCCATGTCCATGCTTTAAGTTTACAAAATACTCAGGTGGTACAAAGCTTGGTGCCTCCCCAATACCGTAAATGTTCTGCCTGGCATTCACTATAAAACTAATGTGAGAGTTAACTGGAAAAATTAAATACCCTAATAATGCCTATTTTTAACAAAAGTAAATTACTAAAAATCAGTTTACACTAGAAAATTACCATAGCTATTAATACTGTAATTCTATATAATCAGCCTGAGACATGAAAATAATTTCGGAGACTAGGAAGATCTACTCAGTGGATGAACTGAAAATGTCACTGAAAGAACACAGAGAAATGCCTGCATAAGAGGACAAGGAGAAGTGAAAAGGATCATGGGGTAGAGGACACCATAATGAAACCCACCAAACAGTCTGAAAAGAAGGGGGAAAGGGCAAAGGGAGAATATGGGATTATAATAAAGGGGATGAACTTGTTCAAAGTACACTATACGGATCTATAGAACTATCACAATGAAAGCTCTTCATACTACTTATTTATGCTAACAAAAAAAATTTTTAAAGATAACCACGATAGGTACAAGGGCAGGCAAATGTAGCCTGAAGACTTGGAAAGCATGGGTGTAAGAATCACCTGAACCCAGGACTTTGAGATTCTACCCTACCCCAAAGAAGGAATAACCACTACTGTGGGATGCTTCTAGACACACACACACACACACACACACACACACACACACACACACACACACACACACACACACACACACACACACACACACACACACACACACACACACAGCACTTTTCTCAATCCTAGGAAAGGACTGAAAGTGTAGGAACCTAAAAAAAAAAAAAGCTACCTTTTTCACATTCTTCTCATTTATTTTTAAGGGTTTTTATAAAATTCAGCAAGTACATGAAATCATTTGTCTGCTTTTTCATTTTCTTAATACATGAGAAGAATAAAATCTGCTGTGAATGTCTGACAATTCTGTGAAAAAAAACTTTTTTAATCTTATTGTGCTTTTCTCTTTAATCTTAGGAGAGGGTTCAGAGAAATACTTGAGGACTGCTGCTAAGTTGTAATCAATAAGCTACTGTCTTAACCTTCTCGGCTACTTTGTAGGCATTGATTCTTTACCCCTTCTTTCATCAAAATCCTTATCTTCTGAGAGTAAAATGGCCAGATTCAATCTAGTTATCTAGTAAAACATGAATCAAAAGTTACTAATTGCTTTTGTGGATTTCAAGCTTCTATAACTAAAGTCACTTAAATTCATAAGAATAAAAGACAAGCTAGGTGGCAATGTCTCACACCTGTAATCCTAGCCAATCTGGGGGTTGTGATTTGAGGATCGGGGTTTGAAGCCAGCCTGGGTAGGAAAGGCCATGAAGCTCTTCTCTCCAATACACTGCTCAGAAAACACTTACGTGGCATTGTGGCTTCAGTGGTATAGCATTAGCCTTGAGCAAAAAGAAGCTCAGGGACAATGCCTAGGCCCTGAGTTCAAGCCCCAGGAACAGGGCACCTCCCTCCCCCCCCCCCCCAAAAAAAAGAATAGAAAACAAGATAGGCACTGGTAGCTCACGCTTATAATCCTAGCTACTTAGGAGGTTGAGATCTGAGAATCTTGGTGAAAGCCTGTTATCTCCAATTAACCACCAGCAAACTAGAAGTGGACTGTGAGAGTGCTGCTCTTGAGCAAAAAAGCTCAGGGACAGCACCCAGGCCTTGTAGTCAAGCCCCATGACCAAGAACAACAAAAGACAAGCCAGGCACTGATAGCTCACATCTGTAATCCTAACTATACTAATGAGGCTGAGATCTGAGGGTCGTGGTTGGAAGCAAGCTTGATCGGCTTCCCCACCTCCCCACCCCACCTCCCAATCTGTGAGACTCTTATTTCCAATAAACTGCCAAAAAAACCCTCAGAAGTGGAGCTGTGGCTTAAGTGGCAGAGCATCGGCCTTGAGCAAAAAAGCTGGGAAACCCTGAGTTCAAGGCCTAGTACCAACACACACACACACACACACACACACACACACACACACACACACACACACGAATTAAAGTAAAAAACATGACATCTAACCTAAAGAATAAGAATACCTATATATTTACCACACCAAATATTTAAAATTTAAACAAAATCCACAGAATGCCCCTAATTTTTTTTTTCTTTTTTGAGGTCCAGTCGTGGGGCCTGAACTCTGGGCCTGGGAACTGTCCCTCAGCTCTTCGGCTCAAGGCTAGAGCTCTACCACTTGAGTCACAGCGCCACTTCTGGGTTTTTTCTTTTTTGCTTATGTGGTGCTGAGGAATCGAACCCAGGGCCTCAGGCATGCAAGGCAAGCGCTCTATCACTGAGCCAACTTCCCAGCCAGAATGCCCCTAATTTTATATCAATATTGTCTTGACTATAACTGCACAAACATCAATTGGATTATAAGAAATTATCAAATTCTTTTGTTCTTTAGTTCCTTATGGTCATTTATCAAAAAGCCTATCGAGCAAGTGGCTAATTTCAAGATTTACACTAAAAAAATTATAAAAGTGGCAAAATCCAAAGAAAGAGAATAACCTGGATAACCATGCTACAGTAAATCAACTAAACAAGATCCCAAATTTAAACAGATAAAACATACAGCCTTCTTGACTGTCAAAAATAAGACTTCTAAACTATGAAAATGGAACAAGGAAATCTGCTGGAGACACTGTTTCTTACACAGAAGGGCACAAGGAATGTGATGCAGGGATGAAGTTGATTAGAATACATTGTTAACATGTATGGAGATCTAACAATAATATCCTAACCCCTCCTGTATTACTGATATAAGTCAATACATTTTTTTTAAAAATACATGCCCTGGGCTGGGAAGGTGGTTCAGTGGTAGAATGCTTGCCTTGCATGCCTGAGGCCCTGGGTTCGATTCCTCAGCACCACATAAGCAAAAAGAAAAAAAGCCGGAAGTGGCACTGTAGCTCAAGTGGTAGAGCGCTAGCCTTGAGCTGAAGAGCTGAGGGACAGCACCCAGGCCCAGAGTTCAGGCCCCACGACCGGACCCCCTCCCCCAAAAAAAAAAAAAAAAAAGCAAAAAAAACATGCCCTTCCCAAGAAATGTAAAAAGTGCCTTCAGGTTATAAATAGCAAGTGTTTGATTAGTGCTATGAAATTACTCAAGGAATTCAAAAAGGTCAAGACCTAGGCGGCTAAGCACAAAAACAGGAAAAAATTATCACTGCTCAAACCCAAGACAAAACTCAAACCACCTGAACAATTTAACTAAGGGAAATCACCAGCCACCAGCCTGAACATCTAACAAGAACAAGATATAACTTTGCTATAGCTTCCCAGTGGAGCCAGTCCTCCTGACATTCTGTTTCTTCCACAACCAAGAGGTCACCAGCGATTTGCACCAGCACTCCCATCGCCCTGTGATCCTTACCTCCTTCCCCAGCTTCACAGTTTCTACAGCACTGCTACCCACTCTACACTAAACACCAACTCACTAGTATAGAATGTAAATGTTACCTTGCCAGTTTCCAGGCTAACAGTCTCAAGAAAGAACAGAGCTGGGAATGTGGCTTAGTGGTAGAGAGCTTGCTTAGCATGCATGAAGCCCTAGGTTTGATTCCTCAGTACCACATAAACAGAAAAGGCTGGAAATGGGGCTGTGGCTCAAGTGGTAGAGAGCTAGCCTTGAGCAAAAGAAGCTCAGGGACAGTGCCCAGGCCTAGAGTACAAGCCCCAGGACTGGCAAAAAAAAAAGGGGGGAGGGGAGGGGGAAGGGAACCCAACAGAGCCTTCCAGGTTTCATACTTGAACTATGACCAGTTCCTTCTTGCTACCCTTTTATCTCCTATCTTCTGATTTTCCTTATTTCAGAGACCTGCTATAGATGCTCCCTATGTCTCCATTTCTGGTAATAGATTTCCTTGTTTCTAAGCCCTAGTCAAAAATTTAATATTATAGTTGAGTATCTTGACTATGTGTTCAATATCTGCCCCACTAGATTACACTAGACCTACATTTTAATTACCAATGTTCCTATCATCAGTACACAGAAGGTACTCAATGACTAAAGCAAGGGGTTACTATCTCCACTTTTAGAAAGTATTACAAATCTATCTTCTAAAATAAAAAAGTACACTGAATTGGCCAAGCCAATCCCCCAAATAAAAATAAATACATATAAGCCAGGGTCAGTAACAAAGATTTGTGGTTCCTGACAATCAGGGGAAATAGTGCTTACCTAGATAGTATAATAATCTGAATTCAAATAATAATGATAACATGGCAAAAAAGCAGAGCTAGAAGCATAGCTCAAGTGTAGGGAACCACTTAAACTTCAAACATGAAGCCTTGAGTTCAAACACTACCACCAGAAGGAAAAAAAAAAAGAGGAAAAAAGTCAGCTATCTGGACAAAAGTTACCCATGGGCTGGGGAAAACAAACCGTGCTATGCATGGCAGGAACAACTCAGCATTAACTGAAAACCTAAGGGAAATACTAACATTCAAACTGCTTTAGAACAGTTTCATCACTTGAAGTTATGTTTTATTTTTTTAAAAGAATAGCAAACCTATATGACTTGAGCTATGAAAATTTTGCACAAGCACCTGCTAAAGTGCTCAGTAAAAAACTGTTCCATCTCTATTTGCAATTATATAACTGAAGTTTTCTATTTTTCACTGCTAGAGATTGAATCTAGGACCTCAAGCAAGCTAGATAAGGCTCCACTGATGTAAACTACACCATTACACCTACTTTCTATTTAACATCTACCTTCAACTAGACCCTAAGTCCATGAAGAATGGGAGAATATCTGTGATAGACCATAAATTGATGAAGGCACAGTTTCTCTGAGGCATTCTATAGCCAGCACCAGGACAATGAAGCAAATATAACTGTCTGGGGCTGGGAAGGTGGCTCAGTGGTAAGAATGCTTGCCTTGCATGCATGAGGCACTTGGTTCGATTCCTCAGCACCACAGAAGCAGAAAAAGCCGGAAGTGGCACTGTGGCTCAAGTGGTAGAGCGCGAACCTTGAGCTGAAGAGCTCAGGGATGGCGCCCAGACCCAGAGTTCAGGCCCCACGACCGACCAAAAAAAAAAAAAAAAAAAAAATAATAATAATAATAATAATATAACTGTCTGAACAGAAGATACTCGACTTGTAAAAGTGGGATAATTGGGAGTGTAAATTTACCTTTATTTGAAATTTCACTAATGTTACTCATATTTTATCTGTGTAAAAATTGAATTGATTTAAGCAACTTTCAACATATACTACTAGGATTTGGAAGTGGGAAGTACATTAAAAAGTCATTTACCACTAAGTTACCAAATTCTAAAACATTCCAAGTATTGAAAGAGAGGAAAAAAGAGCTTGCCTAGGCAATCAGGGCAAAAGCCCTCCCCCTCGCCCCCCTCCCAGGTTCTACATCCCATAGCAAGTCCTTCAGCTGTCCCCTACATAGGCACCTATAGATCACATCACCAGGACCTTCAGCAGTAATGCTTTCCAGCCCTTGGGCAATGGTATCATGGCCCATTGTCACTGGAAGACTTGTACAGGAAGAACAGACTAAGGGGTCTAATGAACAAATATCCAGTCAGACAGGCTACACAACACATGGAGAACACGCAGCCTGTATGGAGCTTCTGATTGGGTCTGAGGACTGATTTTGCCTACGAGCTGTCCAATGATCTCGAGTCATGTGATTATCTCCTAGAGACAATCTTTCCATCCATCCATTCCCATAATACCCTGAACCTAGCTCACCTGTCATTTATTCTAGCAGTTATTTTACTACTCTGTCTCCAACATCTGATCCTTGTATTAGGTATGATGTATACCACTCTATAACACCTGCACTCACATACTTAGGTGAATAAAAGCTTTAAGGCTGCCATGTGCCACATGAGAGGCATTTTTTGAAGTACTGTGCTCATTGTAGGCCTCTGTCCAGTTCTCCACAATGAAAACATAGTCCGCCAACCTGCCTTATTGACTGCTGTACCAAGTGTCCTTGCAGATTATGCTCTAACAGAGACGCAACCTTCGCACTTGCTCACTTAACTTCGGATGTTAAAACGTGTGGCTTCCTCTTTTCCTACGGGATTAAACAAGTGAAACTCAAGAGTTCCACAGCCCGGTCGTTTGTGCTCCTCAGTATTTCCTCAAAGCCTCAGTTTTTAGCAGGAAAGGTGGACTGGCGATGCACTAAAGGAACGACTGGAAGTGTCGGCTTTCTAAAACGGAGAGAAAGATCAGCACGGCCTGGGCCGGAAGAGCTGTGAGCGACCTGGGCGAGGCTTCGCCCGTGTGCTCGCCGGGTTCCTGTATTTAATATCTCAATCAAAACGGCGGTGTTCGAGGGAGAGGAGCGTGAGGAGAGTCAGACACCCTCCTTCCCCTCGCTGACGCACGTACGGGAACCGCGCGGGAGCGGGACGGGCGCGCGGGACAGGACGCACGCGGGACCGGGACGGGACGCACGCGGGACCGGGACGGGACGCACGCGGGACCGGGACGGGCGCGGGACCGGGACGGGACGCACGCGGGACCGGGACGGGACGCACGCGGGACCGGGACGGGAGCGCCGGACCGGGACGCGCGCGCCTTCCACACTCGGCCCGGCGGCTGCCAGTGACCCCAGGAGAAGCCAACGCGCAAAACCGGAAGCCAGCTCCCCGCGGAGACGCTCCTACCGGCTGCACGCCGGACTGTGGTCATCCAAGCAACCCAACCCAGTGCCCCGCACTCACCACCAGCGAGGCAGTGAACCCCGGCCGGTCCATGGTTCCCGCAATCCCCGTCAAGACCGAAACCCGAGACCGAGCAGAAGGTGGTGGAGGACTCGTGCGCTGGGCGCCGTCATCTTGGGGGCGGGACCAAAAGTAACCACTTCCGGAGCCTAGTGACGTCAGGCCACAACAACTGCACGTGCAACCCGCAGGAAAGAAGGGGCGGGGCTTTGAGCTGAGGGAAGGGGCGGGGCCTGGGGCGGTATTCCCGAGCCAAATCTCGCGTCTCTTCGGGAGACGCCTGGGGCTGCGGCTGGAATCGGACCAGTTCTCGCGAGCACACGAGACTGGCGAGGCTCTCGGAGCAGGGGGTCGAGGGCCAGGTTGACTGAATTGTCAAGTGTGGAAGGGAGCAGTAGGCCCTGACCTGTGCACGCCTCTGGCTGCACTGGGTGCCAAAGTCGAGAGCGGTGATTTTATTATTTTTAAATTCAGAATCCACATCAGCTCTTCATCTGCTGTGTTTCTTTGGTCTTGTCTTTTACAAACGGTGTTGGGATGTCTAGTATATTAACGCATTGTCAGAAGATCAGTAAATGAAAGCGAAAAATGCTTCAGGAAAATCCTTGACCTAAAGATTGGCACCCTCCACTTCTCATTTACTTCATTATTTACAGAGGAGAGTTTCAAAAGTGGTTTCTAGATGCTAGAAAGGGGAGAAGGTGGAGGGGGTAGGGTATACAGTCAAACAAGGACTATGCGCGTCTAGCCCAGGGGTAGAGTACCGGTTTGCCTGACAGGTGTAAGGCCCTGGAAGTTCAAGGGGTCCCAAAACAAAGAAATGATAAATGCTTAAGAAGATGCAAATGTTCATTACTCTGATTTGACTGTTGCATGCATGTATGAATTATCATGCATAAATGGATACCACTGGTCATATAAATATGTGCTGTTATGTCAAAGATAAAATGGATTAATAAAAAGAACTGCTCAAATATTTATTGGTAAACTGGGCGCTAGTAGTTCATGGCTGTAATGAGTGACTCAAGAGGCTGAAGTCTGAGGGCTGTGGTTCAAAGCCCAGGCAAGAAAGATAATAAGACTCTGATCAATTAATGATGAGCACCACCAGCAGCCCCCCACCTCAAAAAAAGACAATAAACAGGAAATGGAGCTGTGTCCAGTAGAGTACCAGCCTTGAGTGATAAAGCTAAGGAACCACACCCAGGCCTTGAGTTCCAGCTGCAGGATCATCACACATACACATATTTACTAGTTCATCTTATTCAGATTTGTACCCATGTGTACACCTTGAAGTCCATGTCATTAAGTAGTTTTTGGAGTAGAACTACCTTTACATGTACAAAAAACTCTCTAACCCTCCATATATATGAAGGGTACACATCTCAGACATAGTGCCAGTTTTCCCAGTTTTCATCCCTATGAGGTGGGCACCGTTGCCATCCTTATTTTAACTTAAGTGGCCAACCCAAAGCTACATTGGAAATTCGCTTGGTGCATTCATCATCTTTCCTCAAGAGGCTCACAGTAGCCTTAGACAACTCTTTGTCAAGGCTTTTTACAATTAATCCCCCATACTGCTGTTATGCTGCTAGAATCTTTATCCTCTTCTAGATAAAAAGATCTGCAGATGAGTGGCAGAGTAATTTAGGTGTTAGATGAGTTTCACAGTCTAAGATATCATCTAAGGAATTTAGGCATAACTTCTCCAAGTTTGAGCTTTCTACTTATAGCCCAATAGATTGTGCACTTTCAGACCTCCTTGTTTTCCAATATTGTTTCCCCAGAAGACTTTTCTCCCATACTTCCTGCAGAATATAGCCTTTGGCCCCATACTAGTTCATTTCTTCAAGACCAATAGGAGAATCTCTATTGCTGTTGTCTCTTTTAAGGGCCTATACAAGGACAATTTCCCTTTTGACCAACTCAAAGTCAATTGTTTAGGAACCTAATTTACATATGCAAAATCCCATTTGCCATATCATGCAATGTAATCATGATAGCAATATCCCATCATACATCACACTCTTGCTCAGGCTCAAAGGGAACAATTATACAACATAAGAACGTAAAGAAGCAGGAATTTCAGCGCTATCTTAGAATTCTACCAAACATATTTTCCAATATGCCCTAACTGGCAACCTCTTGAAAGGCCACCATGGTACTATCAGTTTGCACTAATATTTCCCTGAGTCCTTCCACCTTTCAACTACTCTATGGTATCAAGGCACCACTACAGTTCAGGAATTTCAGCAGCACTCCATCTCCAGATATTAAAATCTGTATCACTCATCTATTTCTGCCTAACAAATTAGCAGCCTGAAACAACAATAAATATTTTATTATGCTAGACTGAGGGACTCAATTTTCATTGCCTACTGACTGACAGCCTCCCTTAGCAACCTGCTACATGAGCATCTCCACGTGGGGACTGGAAACGAGGGCCCTGACTTCCATCAGAGTAAGTGATCAAGACACCCAGGTGGAAGCCACAGTCTCAGTTTGAGGGTGTAGCTCAGTGATACATTGTGCACTTAGCATGTGCAAGGTCCTAGATTAAAACCTCCATTGTCCCCTTCCCCATTAATCTAACCTCTGAGGTAACAGTTCATTTCTGTTGCCAGCCCACAACATGAATACAAGGCAGCAGGACTCATCGGTGAGTAGTCTTGGGGGGCAATATATAATTTATAGAGGCACAGAACTAAATCAGTGAAGAATAATTACCTTGGGGTTCATTAAAAGGATGCATCTGTTTTCCGCTCACATTGCTTTGGCCATTTCTAATGAATAATGGCTACTGCTGCAACTATCATTATTATATAAGTCTTTTATTGCTGACCTGTGTCCAGCTGACAGCTACTCACTACTGCTTAATTCTTCAGCTATCTCCATGAGCAAGTTGAAATATGCCTGCCTAGGCTTCACAAAGAATGATTCCATTACCTTTCATAATTGGATTCTGTTCAATATTTGACCTAAGAAGTTCTGGTTAGGGATATATATATATATATATATATATATATATATATATATATACATACATATATGGTATATATACACACACACACATATATATACACATATATATCAGGATACAATGTACTTCAGCTAATTTTCATGCTGACAAAGATTTCTACTCTACCTATTGTAGCAATTATTCTAAAACCATGAGCTTTTGTGCAATGAGTATCCATCAGGTGCTTGTCACCCTATCCCCTGAAATATGACACAGAAGTATCCTTGCTGTAATTATTTCCTCTATTAAAATGGTAATAGATAATTTCAGACCACCCTGATGACTCTTTGCTGACACTGATTATGACAGCAAATGATGTTTCCTGGCCCTAACTATTGTTGTATTCAAGGACAAAATGCATTTTTTTCTTTGCAATAAAAGAACTAAGAAGAAAATGCAAAAGTGTGTGTGTGTGTGTGTGTGTGTAGCACTGTGGCAAAAGGATTTGAACTCCACACTTCACACTTGCTGGGCAAGCATACTAATACTTGAGCCATGCTTCTAACCTTCATTTAAACAAATTTAAAGCAAAATGTCAACCACTAACTGACCCATGGTTTCCCAGCTATGCACAAATAAGAACTTTTATCTAATAATAATGATTTTTTGGGGGTCCGGTCGTGGGGCCTGAACTCTGGGCCTGGGCACTGTCCTCAGCTCTTCAGCTCAAGGCTAGCACTCTACCACTTGAGCCACAGCGCCACTTCCAGCTTTTTTCTTTTTGCTTATGTGGTGCGGAAGAATCAAACCCAGGGCCTCATGCATACAAGGCAAGCGCTCTACCACTGAGCCACCTTCCCAGCCCCAAGAACTTTTATCAATCTTTATTATTTTTCAAAAATGCTTGCCTCAATCAATCTGTTTATAGGCATCTTTTTTTTCTTTATAAGTATGTCACTCTTCCAACTTGATTTTTCTCATGGTTCTACTATCTTTGTGTTAAAAAGCCTGCCTGTAGTCAACGTCTGATTTATTCTTTTTTTTTTCTATTTTTTTATTGTGAAAATACCGTACAGAGGGGTTACAATTACATGGGCAAGGTAGTGAGTACATTTCTTTTTTTTTTTTAATTTAATTTAATTTTATTTGTGAACATACTGTACAGAGGGGTTACAATTACATGGGCAGGATAATGCGTACATTTCTTACCAAGCATTGGTGAGTACATTTCTTATCAAGCGTTGTTGCCTCCTCCTTTGTTTCCCCTTCCCATCAACCCCTCCCCCCCCAAAGTTGTAAAGTTTGTTTTTCAACATAATGACTTGTACATCTCATTGTTGCAATGGGTCCACCTGTATCCCTACTTAAACAATTTGTTTTTTCCCTTCCCCTCCACAAATTGTACCAACATCAGATACAATGAAAGCAGAGGTTATACTGTAGGGGAGGGACATGCGAAGCAACAAAGAAATAATCTTATAAATATGTTAGAAACAATTGCAAGAAAGAAAAAAAAATTTGAATACTTGTCTTGGGGTTCACGTAACACCACCTTATCTGACCTTTTCTGCTTGACTCAGACATATACTAGTTATTGCAAATAAGGGAAACCATGGGACCTATGTTTCTTTGGGCCTGGCTTACTTCGCTTAATATAATTTTTTCCAAGTCTTTCCATTTCCTAGCAAATGGGGCAATGTCATTCTTTCTGATGGAGGCATAGAAGTCCATTGTGTATATATACCACATTTTCTTGATCTGTTCATCTACTGAGGGGCATCTGGGTTGGTTCCATATCTTACCTATACCAAGCCATCACTCAGTCCTTCAGAGACTACCCGCTTTCCTTCTCTATAAAACACCTTGGCTTAGACCTTCAAAAGTAACCTCCCCTCTTCTCTCCTTCCCTCCCTCTCTCTCCTTCCTCCTCTCTTCTCTCTCCTCCCCTTCTCTTCATTCTTCCTCCTTCCCCTCCTTCCATGGCTCAATCCCCTCCCCCCCCTCCGCTCCCTCTCTACCCATGTTGGCAGCTGCTGTTCCTAATGGGGCGGGATGTGGTGGCATTTATCTGTAATTCTATTCTTGGAGGATAATAGTTCAAGTCTGAGCCATATAGTGAGACCTTGTCTAAAAGAAAAACAAAAATTAATTTAATTAAGTAATTAAC